ATGTCGGTGGGTAACTATCGACAATATCACGAGCTCTAAAGCCTTCATACATTGAATTAAACATTGAAATTTAACTTCTCTCGCAATATTTTCATCGTCATGTATTCTTTTGAATTGGCTCCAAAAGGCAAGCCAATCTTTGATTTTCCCATCAAATTTCAAAAGTTTGATTTCCAGTAACTTTAACCTTTGTTTTTAAATGGGCGAAGAATCAACAGAACTTTCGGTTTTAGAAATTCTATTTAAATACATTTCTACATTTACTTCTGCCTTTACTAAATTTTCATTATATTCTTCTATTTTCGCGTACTCGTTCTGATACTTTTTATCGTCTATATCGTCTAATAATAAAGGGCTCATTTCCTGATCTATTTCAGTAAGCTGACAATAAATTCTACATAAATTAGCAAAGTTAGATCAAATGCTTTCTTGTTTAACATTATCTGCCTTTAATAAGTCACTGAAACCATTAAACACTTTGTGAAGTTAGCTCTTATTGGAGAGCGTTTTTTAACAAGTAATTCCATTTTCAGAATAACAGGTAATTCAAAATAATGTACCTTTAATATCACGCCCGGGTCACCATGTTGTGAGACTCTACCTGAATTTTGTTCATTCAGTCGGTGATCCATTAAAAGAAATGTAAAGAGAGATTTATAATTAAATAATACGGGCAATCCACCCAATTAATTCACTATAAAACAGGCAATCCACCTTAATGCAAAATCATGGTGCATTTTGCTCTTTTTTTAATTCTAGAACATAAAAATGATAAAATGTTGCAAAACTGTAAAATTTAACCTTTAAAGAAATTTAAACAAATTTAAACATTTAGACAAGCGTTGTGTTGCTCGCGACACTTCAGTGCATAAATTTGTAACTCGGTGATTAATGTTTTGAACCAATATCCAATAACGTAGTTAAGTTAATTATCTGTTACTAAACGCAAAACTGATCTTCTGCATCCAAGGTGGCATACGAAATATGCAATTTAGGCGACTAACAACGTGTTGTTCATTGGACACACGTTGGAATTCAGGTGTGCAGTGGTGTAGTGTTGTTTTAAGTTAAAATGGTTTTGAGAGTCATCAGTATTCATTAGTTATGTATGACGCACAAGCAATTTTTCTATGAGATTTTCACCTTTCATACAAATGACATTGTCATGTCATTATATTTTAGAAGTTATAAATGACCCAATTGCTCACTGGCCATGGAAACAGTTATCTGAGCAGATTAAGTTAGATTCAGACACTTTTTGTGATTCCAGTGTTGGTGGCGAGGAAACTGTTGAACATGTGCTTCTTCTGTGTTCCCGATTTGATACTGAAAGAAAGATCTTAAAATTGGCACTTAACAATACTAACTGATTAACTGACCTTCTGATTTTCATTGGCTTATTTCCGAGAAAAGTGCCTTTGACTATTTTATAAAATTACTGTAAATTATTGTAATACTTCATAAGTATTTTTCCTTTACTGATTGATTTTTCTGCATTGTGTTTCATACTTACTTCTACAAGCTCCAAGTTTTTTGTCGTACATGGAAAATTGCTTGTGTTTTTAATTTTAAAAAAGACACATTTAACTGAAGAGCAGAAGTCGTAGTTAATTAGTAAAGGGAAAATAAATAATTTGGATTGGCAAAGATTTGAACATCACACACAGTGTCATATTAAGAAGCCGAAACCACCTTTTAAGCAGCTAACTAGTTAGTAAATAGTCGGGGAAGCATGACCAAGAGCAACTACTGCATTAAAAGACAGTTTTCTGTCCCTCTTAAATTAAAAAAAAGAAAAAGAAATGTGAAGCGACTATAACCGAAAAGATAACCTTTTCGAGAAATGAGGAAGTAAGACGAAATGGAAGACCATCCACTAGATGGATACATGATGTCAAGCAAGATTTAAGGTTAATTGGAGTTAGGAAGGCTATTGCCCTGAATGGGGTCAGGTGGAGGAAACTTGGAGAGGTAGCCTTGGCCTGTAACAGGCTGTGGAGCTTATGAAGAAGAAGAAGCAACTATAAACAGTTGGTTTCAAACCTTCAGGTTGTCACAGGAACTCAAACAAGCCATTTCTGAGCTACACCGAGGTATCAAAAGGTTAGAATTTACATGAGCAAAACAATAGCCATATCTCACTCATACCAATTTCAAAAAGAACATATTTAAGTTGCTGTTGTTTTCATGCTAAATAGCGTCAAGAGGAATGGTACTGTGAAATGTTTATTGACAGGCCCATATATGGCCTGAATTGTGATTCTAGACATGTTTATTCTGAACGGAATGATGTACATGCAACTTGCCTTCTCTTGTTCATGAACGATACTTTTTCCATGGAAGCATTTTCAAAGTTTGGGATGGAAGGGATGGAATCATCAAAAAAGGCTGGTGAGCATCTTTGATGGAGGTTCTGTAACTAGTCACAGATATGTGGATGTGCTCTTGGAACTTCACATAAGGTTATTTAGGAGTACTGGTTGTCCAGATTTGTTTTGCTAATGGATGTCAATGCTAGTCTGTATCGAGAATCTCTAGTGTCAGAATACATGGAAACAGAAGATATCACTTCAACAGCTTACTCACCAGACTTGAAACCGATTGAGCATTGAATATCTTAGGCCACTGAATTTCAGTGGGTCAAATATCTGCCCAAACCCTCCAGGATCTGAAAAGTCAAGAAGAGTGGCAATTGATTCCATAAGACTTGATCAACAGTTTGCTACATTGATGAATAAATGCATCGAGATGTGAAATCCACATTTCTCTCAGAAGTGACTATATATCACATTAAAGAAAGATTTGGTTCAAAATGGGGGGACGTCACTTTTCAATCATATTTAAATTTCCAGAAATTCAGCTTTAAATTCAGTATTTTGAGACTAATGAACTGGCAAACAAGGCAAGATAAATAAAGCTTTTGTAAAAATTGCTTTTAATAATATTTCTATAAGTAACAGTTAAAGCTTTATTTCTGTAATTATCCTTTAATTCTGAACGAGCAGTATAATCAATTTATTATTTTTGTGACATGAAATTTTTTATGTAATCATTGAATTTGGTTTACTTTAAGAAAGACATTAATGTCCAATTACTTTCTTCAGTTTTGTGAGACACTGAATAACAACTTGTCTAACAACTTTTAATCACTGCCATTCTTCAGACATTGATGACATCTAAATTTTTTCACAGCTTTAGTTATTTTAATCGTAATAAAATAACTACAGCTGTGAAAAAAATTAGAAAAGAAGCTATCAATCTTAAAAACCTTTTAGTTCACTTACATAAAATAAATAAAAAATTACTAAATCTCAAATAAGTTACTTTCTAAAATATTTCAAAACTTTCAACTATGTTTGATTTGGGGTGAGGCATCAGCCTACGCATCCTGGCGTATCAAACTCCATTCCACAAGAAGAAGCATCTTTCATGTATAATTTGTGACAATCTGAGACACCCTAGCCCTTCAGGAGATCATCCTCTTGGTGAGATGGGTGTCACAATCCTGGAATCCTAGTGATCTATCCTCTTTTCAGTCTCCCCTCCTCTTAATTGTAACTTTTTCCTTCCCTTCTCTTTTGTCGTTTTCCTCTTTGGAGGTTGGGGCTCGGCATGAGAAACTGTTACTGCTCTAGTCACTAGTTTTGAAACCGTGAGAAAACTTACCACGTGTTTACTGTGCATAGAGACACATGTTGTTGGAAAGGAGGGTCCTAATAGTTGAGGGGTAGAGTACTGTCCCTAACACACGGTTTCGGCCTCTGCTCCAGATAAATGGCTGAAGGCACTTCACTGTCCTCACTAGTATCAATTGGCTGGTCTCCTGACCCTAATGTCGGAGGCTTGAAGATAAGCCTTTGGGAGCTTCCTGCTTTCAGATAAATCGTTAGTGGGGCTTCAATATGCATATAGACCCAGTTAACCCTGACGCAGGTCCCCTTGTTGGAATCTGTGTTGAGTGAGGAAGCCGGGTCCGAATCTCTTTTCTCATCATTATGGCTACTTTAACTGATTCTTGCATCTCAGAAAATAAAACAAATGGTACAAAAAATAAATATAAAACATGCAAATGCTAATCAGGATGAAAGAAAATTGCTTATAAATAACACAACAGGCGAAATTTAAAAAATGCCACCCTTTTTGGTACACAAACTTATACAGCCTTTGCCTGCGAGCCTAAAAACATCAAATGACTTTGCTCAGGTGATCTTCTTGCAGAAACTGTATCTTCTAGCCAATCTGCAACCCTTCTCGCTTTAAACAAGACAGACATGCCAATGTAGGTATCTCAGCCCTAAAACCTCAGAATTACAGTCGTGGAGCAATCTCTGAATTTTCTGCAGGACATTTCAGAGGATGAATTTCTGACAGAGCTCTCTGACCAAAATGTCTGTGCTGCTAAGCAAATCAAGATGTGCAAAGAGGGTCAGATTATAAATATGAAGCATGTAGCATGTTATTCTGACTATCAACGTGCCACATTTACCAAAAACTGTAAAGACCCAGTATGTTCATTGCCCTGCAGGATCAAACATTCCCAACCACGTGGATGTTAAAAAATTCTTATTAAAAATATTATACAAAAATTAAATATTGAAACAATTATCAATTTAAGGGATTCTGAAGTACCTATTTTTAAGTACAGAAATGCTGATTACATGTATTAATTTTTTGCATAACTCAAAAAGCAACTGTTTCTTCACTTCTTACTGCTTGCACCATCAGGAGAAGAAAAGATGCTTATATCTGAAGTGATAATTGTACTCTTTCTTGTATAGGGTTTCTAAATTCCATTTATCATGTTCTAATAAAAAAATTAACTACATTGAATGCATTTTTTGTAGAATATTAAAAAACCAAAACATAAATTAAAACACCAAAAAAGGAACAATCCCCCCCAATGCCTTTTCAAATGAAAATACTATACCATACATCTCTCAAATAAGATTCAAGTAATAAAATATTAATAATTTTTATTTAAAAATTATCTGTACATTCTATCCACAATTGCTTTTAAGAATCTAACACCTTTGATTAATTGCATTTACACACTTTCACTACTGTATATTTGAAACATATTTATGGTTTGAGTCCTTTTTTACATGAGCACTAATTTCTACCAGAATCTAATTTCAATTTTACTGAGGGTTCTAACACCAGAATTTCAGAGGAATAGGAGAGGAATTCTGAAAATTTCTCTTCCAACATTTTCAAAAATGATTTCCTTATAAATTATGTATTATTTATTTCAAGACACTATGCAAATCAGTCCATTTAAGTAATCAAATTATCAATTAGTTTCTCATCAATGCACAGAAATGCAGAAAAGCATTACAGTATCAAGGATCTGCTAAGGAATAACTGGCCTTAAAACCATTCAAAAAGTTTAAAAAGGTACAGTATAAAATACTAAATATTAAATGTGAAACAATACCATTATTTTTATATAATTTTGGGCAATCTAAAAGCCATTCTGTCATAGATTGATGCTTGAAAACAATGCTATTGAAATGCTTGCCACCATTAACATTCCATGTAGCAATTCCTACTCTTACTTTAGAAGTAAGCGTGAATTCTTTTCTTCTCATGTATAATGCTTCTAAGAAACTAGATGGCACTAGAAAGCAAATAAATATAATTAATAAATTAAGATCAATAAATTCAATTTTGCATATAAAAATTCATAGAAGAAGGAATTTACATATCACAACACACAGACGAAAAAGCTTACTGTTCAAGTTCAATGAAAAGATTTTCTGAGCGTATTCATTTGCTTTTGGAGATTTTTTTTTAAATTTCATTTACATTTTGATAAATTTAATACTAAAGTGATTTTTTTACTGTTTCTTCCCACATATTTTCAATTAACGATTGAAGTACCATCGCAAAATTTCAGTCTTTACACAGCTGGATATAAATCGGAAATTATTTTTCAAAATGATGTTTTTCGCTAATCTGTAGCTTAAATTGTCGATATCTGGTGACTTTTCTGAAATCAGTCACCTTTTTTTCCATCATTATCCCTTATTTTAAAATTTCCACAAAAATAATGTCATAAATGTTCATGTAGTCTAAATTCAAAAGAACAACAATGACGTGATAAACAAAAGTGCTTGAAGATTGAAAAACAATTATATGAACAGTTTCAAATGGATAAACCATTTTTTCCTACTTCATTCAAACTGTATTTTTGAATGCCTGATTCCTGATTAATTAGAAAACATTTTTTTTTCCATTTTTAGCATCTATGCGCATGTTTTAGCATTATTATATACTAACAAATATGAGCATTCCTAGAAAATGTGAATTTTATTAGCAATTTCAAAAATTCTCACATGATATAGTGAGATAAAGTTTTTAATTTTTTTATCAGTGCTAGTATGACTGAGCAAAATAAATATAGTTAGCAAAAAATGTGTGAATTTTATTTAGCAAAACAAGAGGTTGTTTCCCCCTTTTTTTGTTTCACTTAAATATAGCAAGTTTTCCCATTTTCCTCTACAATTATAACACTAGAGTGGCATGGTTGAATTAAATGTTTTTAACAGTGTTATTAAGACATATAATTAAAAAATCTGACACACATTTTAAGTGTTATCATTATTATAGTTTGATGAATAAAAATTCTATTAATTTTTTCTTATATTTCTTTTGAAAATAGTGTTGTGAGTTTTTAATGTAATATCAAATTTGCTGATTTTGTGAGTAAAATCTAGAAATAAGAGCAATTTACTAAAAAAATAAATAAATGGATATTTTTGTGAAGTAAAACTTTTAATGCTGATTTCTTAATTTCTACATGTATGAATATTGTAAAGGTTAATGAAGGGTTTATGGGACAAAAAACCAAAGCTTTTCAAGCCATAAGTTTTATTATACATTTATTATTATTCACATAATATTTAAGTGTTAATTTTCTGTGAATTGGAAATTAATTATACTGCAGGGAATAGCAAGAAAGAAGCACACACACGCTTGTGTCTCTTGAACGAAAAAGTACAATAGCTGTTCCTATTTTCTATACTAAATTAATATTTTACATACATATTTCTGATTATACAGAAGATAGGTTGCATGTATATAGATAGATTGCTTGTATACAAATGTGATTATATGTGAATATATTCTCTAAACTGGATTTTTACACAAAATTATTTACAATGGTTAAAAAAAGTTTTTTAATAGATGACTGCAATATTTAAAAGACATTTTTAATAAAGAGCTATGTGTAAGATTTGTTTATATAGCTTGTCGATATTTATATTTATTTTAAATAAAAAATTTTATTTAATTTGTTATTCTTTCCTAAAAGCTTTCATTCCCTTAATGTCAGTGGCAGAATATTTAAATTTGGTAGTGAGCATGAAGGAATGCAAATTCTATGTTGAAGAAAGAGTTTAAAAACCAAGTTTCAGTACGAAAGAGGGAGAGTTAGGCTGTTTGCCGTCACCTCTGCTGCTTAAGAGTCTGCTTTCTGAGTTATTGCTGGTTTGCATGGCTTAATTGCATTTACCTGCTGCCACTAGTTTTCGACGGGGGTTTAATATACAGGAATTACTCTGAGCCCAGTAGTTCAACAACTTGTACATATCTTAAATCTTCAGTTCATTATTTTTGATTTCAGTTACTACCCAAGAAGAGGCGTACTTTGTTAGCATCGAGCTGATGCATTGTAAATTTTAAAGAGTTAATAAAGAGTACTTTTAACCCTTCTATAAAGTTACTACTCTTACAGTTCTCACTTAGGAGTTATCGTAATGACTCTACAGTGGCGTCCAAACTAAAATGGCGGTGGATAATGATTCTCCACACCCAGGATTTGGTGATTGGGTCTCCTAAAAACCCCAAAACTTTTGCCCTTTAAAAGGGGGAGTATTAAGGTATTTCTCCCGCCTTCTTAGCATGCCTTTGGAGGGTGGTGGTCAGCATGCTGGGTGAACATTCCAGAGGCGAGGGCGTTGCTCATTTTTCATCATTCCTGCTTTAAAAAATAACCTAATGACTCTACAAGGTAAATATAATACTATAGTGCCAACACTTTCCTAACAGTATTTTTATATTTTTGCCCTTTCAAAGAGATTTAGTCCTGATAGATATTATATTCTAAGTACTAATAATTATTTGTTCTTGAACGTGACTACATCCCTACTTGTTCATCAAGATGAATTTTTTTACAACACTAATTTACAGCAATTGAAAATTAAGACCCTTTTTTAATACATTCAGAAATATGTATCATGTTATATAGGTACTTATATGCACAGATTTCATTTACATAAAATTATTAAGTCTGTAGATGGATATGCAGCCCTGAAAGTGAGATATAAGATTAAATTATGCATACATACATACAATGAGATACGTCAGTAATTCTCAAAATGTGAATTGACAGGACATATAAATTTTTAGGCTTGTTTCATTATAATATTATACAGAAAACTTTGTTCCTAGCGGTGACTTATGTGACCTTATATGAAATTTTATAGGTTAATGTGAATTTCAGTTTGCATAAACTGCAGACTATTTTTAAATATATTGCATCAATAATTTTTATATTTTTCACATAAAATTTCAAAGTTTTTTTTTTTTTTTTCTCTGCTAGGGTTGCATTCAGAAATGTTCTATTCCATTTAATTGAAAACCTCTTATGCCCACAACATACATGATCTGAGCTCACCCAATGTAAAAGCTCACTACCCCCTATATGCAACAAATTGTCTTCAGCCTTTGGATCAAGGCATTATTGGAGTTATGAAGAGGTCTTACCACAAAGGATTCATAGCAGCTACAATTCATGCTGTTGAAAAGGAGACGGAATTGCCAAGTTGGAGTGTGCTTCATGCAATAAAATCTATTACTGCACCTGAAAATCTATCATTACAACATATACAGAACTGTTTCAGCAGAGTCTGGAGACATAAAGACACTAATCATGTTGATAAGTTAGATGGTAACAATGATATCACTTAACCTGATGAATGGAACAGTCTACAAGTCATTATGAACCCTGGTGCTAGTTTCGAGGGATCTGTTAGTGCACATGATGATGTTGCTGTGTGCACAGAAATGGAAGCACTTATGTGAGGTGCAAGAAATGTCATCGGAAGAAAGTGAGAAGAATATCATTCCATCCACCTAATGGGAAATGTTATAGTTCTTGGATACTGAAGAACATTTTGCTACAACATCCGAATCAACTGTTAATTTTATGAAAGCCATGAAGTTAGCAGGCATTTTTGTTCCCATCTGCAACAGCAAAATATGCAGAAATTTTTCACCAAAAAATGATCTGCAAGTTCTTTTTTTTTTCCAAGTTACAGCACAGTAATCAATATAGTGTTTCTTATGCTGGCATGCATAACATATTATAAAAGTTATGTAATGACATACTGTAAATAGTTAATGTGTAAAAAAAATATTCCAAAAGTAAAATTTGAGTCCCACATAATATCAATTTTTTTAATATGAACTCTTGATTTTTCAGTCCCTTGAGATTCATGTTTAACGAGTGTTTACTGTATACATTTTGAGGTGTTCATCTCAGTATAAGTATTTTTCCTTTATTTCATTATTTTTTAGGATTTTCTTTTTCTCCTCTTTTTCTGCACAAGATAACTATGAACTATGTTTATGTGAATCACATATATGTTGCAATGTAGGTTTGTAGCAACGTTAAAATGTTTGGCAAGCACAGAAATATAGCGTGTTCTACAGGTATATGCAATGATATAAAGTGCTTTGATGAATTTATATAGATATGTTCTAAACATTTGTACAGATATGCACAGAGAATAGTACAGACTGTAGCTTCTTCTACATTATTTTGTTTTGTTCCAGTATAGTACAGAATATCTCATCTATGCCAGTTAGTGGTTCTGCTGGTTCTTATGGGGACGTAGTTTACTGGAATAGTTCTGTGTTTCGTTATATAGTTTTTATACTGATCTGTTTTATTATTATCTGTTCTATTAGTTTTGCCTACTGGCTTTTACTGATATTTAGCCTATGAGTGCCCGTGCAGTTCTGCTGGGTTTGTCTATGCATTTTTACAGGGATTTAGCTTACAGGTATGTACAGCTCTACAAGCTTTGTCTGCTAGTTTTTATAAAGATTTGGCCTATGGGTAGCCATACAATTCTCTGAGTTTCTGTCTACTAGTTTATGCACATATTTGGCTTAATGAGTACCTTTAGAGTTCTACAGTTTTTGTCTACAAGTTTATACAGAGATTTGGTGTACCGATACAGTTGTACAGGTTTCCACACAGATTTAATCTATGGGTATTTAATCACAGGTCTATTCATTTTCTTCTATGAGTACCCACATGCCAAATCCCCATAACATTTTTTTATTGATCTGTAAGGAAACTTTTTATTGATCTGAGTTTAATAGAGATGGCTGAAAACCTGTCTCATAAATGTTAAATGGTGATAGTGATTTTTTTATGCCTTAGGACTATAACAATAAAGATGACTAGATTATCACATGAATGCTCCCTAAGACAACGAAGAATGATCTAATTCAAGAAATCCATTATCTAATATCTCCATGAATTCTGCATATAAAGGTTTAGAACTTTTTCAGTTTAACCTTTTTAACGTGTAAATAATATTTTATTAAATAGAATACAGTAAAGTCCAGAAATCTGCAAAGCTTGGGACCAGAGGTTGTGCAGATTTTAGGATTTTGCGGATTTCAGGACAGAGAAGATAAATCATAATATTCAGAATAAAAGCGCAAAATAAATAAGGCATATTAGATACATTCAATTAAATTATTATATACGTTATTGCATTAATTTATTATATGCATTAAATTGTTATTACATATATAAAATGATTACATTATTTATTATATTATATATGTACACAGCATCGAGGTTTGCTGATTTCGCCGCATGCAAAGATTTCCGGTTTCATATTCCGGTGTTAGAATCACTGTTGCTGTAAAATTGCAACAGCTTTTCTTTTCTTTTCCATATAACATACACAATTGTGTCACAATTCCATACGATTCTGCTATAAACAGAGGAGTAGCACCTACCTCCATCTTTTGCAGAATTTGCACCTTTTGCATTACCGTCAATGCAACATGTTTACGTTTTTCAATGTTGCAAGCAGTAAAATCATGAGTACATTTCTTATCTGTCATTGTATTAAAAAGTGCTGAAATTTAAAATATTCTTAGTTTATCCACAAAATATCTGGATTAAAAAAAATGACAGCACTAAACAATCTCGTGAAATAACAAAGCTCAGAAATAAAACGTGAATCGTGAATTTGCAAGAAGAGAAGTGAATCATCTGCTTTTCTACCTCGCTGCAGATTAGAGGGAAAAAACTTTAATCATGATGCCAAAAATTTGGTATTTCCATTATGACTCATTATTATTCGATAATTATGAAGTCATTATTCGGAAAGTATTTTTTCTTTGATATTTCGTACTCCATGTTGTGGTTTCCGGAACCTATAAACTAAATGTTTATATTTTGAGAGGCAACGTGGATTTCAGGAGTTGGCGGATTTTCGGTATTTGACTGTATTTGCTTTATGAAAATCATATAAAAGCTGTAATTTTCCATTTACAGATCTTTGCCATCTGCAGTGCTGAGAATATTTTCGCAAAATTTACCCTCTTATTTTGACAAGTTTTGTAATTAGAAGTGTAAATACTGGGTTAATACCAAAAGCAATCAAAACTGCAGATTTCTTTCTCAAAACCCCTGTATGTATCATGTATTGCATAGAAGTGTGTGGCAGCAAGGGGGCTGTGGTTGATTTAATTCTCACTGTTGTTCGACATTTTTAGCATTAAGCAGAGGCTTGTTTGTGGCGAACAGATGTTGAGTTCGTTTCCATATGAGCAAAATCCTCTACCACTACAGCAAAACAGCTTGTGCACTAGATGCAAGAATTCCGACTCTTTTAAATTTGCAAGGGTTGAGTGGCTCCATGGATGCCATATACCCTCTCCCGGCATCTGTATGGTAATAATGAGGAATGGCCTTGTTGGCCTGTTTTGAAACCCTGCATTTGATGCAGTTGATCATTGCACTGCTAGGCTGTGTTCAGCTCCATTTAGTGGGTGGGCTAATTGGGCCCACTGAAGACTTGAGGTATGAGGTGCTATACAAGTGATGTAGTTTGTTGTTAGTATTTCCCCCAGGTGGGTGGGTGGAAGTATGTTTAACCCATATCGAAGGGGCACCACTGTTCACGGCCACAGAGCTAGGTGATTTTTGCCCGCTGCCTTTTGATGCTTTTTGGTGTTAAGCAGATGCCTTGCACATAACAACATCCATGGATCAGATCAGAAATATGGTGCTAGAGATCACTTAGCTATAGGAAGAGAACTTGAGTGTGGTTCATGTCAATGCAATTCTCTACTGCTAGGGAAAAAGAGCTTTTGTGAGCTAGATTCAAGAATTCCAGCTCTTTCAAATTTGTAAGCATTGAGTGGCTCCATGGTTGCCGTAGGTGTTTAAAAAAAAAGATGCTATATTATGCTTTGCTCTTAAAAAAAGTGCCAGATACTTCCCTATGTGGGAAAAGGATCATGTTTTTGCATGAAGCTGCATTAAATGTGCTATCTTAATGCAATTGTTTTTCTCTAGCAGATCAGGCAAAATGCCTTCAGACCAGACAAGTTCTTAACACTTCATAGTGGTACATGTCAACCTTACCTCTTTACAAAAATTTCAGCTATTAAGTCCACAACTGTAGAGTAGCTACAGCTGATTAGGAACAAAATTAACTGTAGCTTAGATGTATGTCACTTTAAGATGCACACTTAATGCCTGACATCGCACAATTTCACCTTCTTCTATAAGATAAGGTATAAAATGCTTTTCTTGCATACAAAACAATAATTTTAGAAGAACGCTTCCAAGTAAAATCTGCTTTTTCTTTCTTGAGATATCCTGTATGTACACATATATATGTAAATATAACATATCTATATTATCTAAATTATCTGCAATTTTATTGTCATATAGAACAATCAGATGAGTAAAACTATTTAATAACAATACATTATTTAAAAGACTTAGATGAAATTATAGAGGAAAAAATGCATATACATTATAACATGGAAAACTGGTTTACATAGTTACATAGTTTAAACAAAATTATAGGATAAAAAATAATAAAAAATTTTACATCTAAAAAAAAATTTCACAGACTTGTTTCCAATTAAAAAAAAATAATAATTAAAAAAAACTAAAAAACATTGACTAGCTTTACAAAACCTTTATTAAACAGATGTTAGTACAAGGGAAATGCCAGATTACTTCTAATACTTCTTTGAAAACAGCCGCTTTTCAAGTTAACTGCCTGAAATATTTTGATCAACACTACATAAAACAAATGAATGATAGACCATCTTTATACAGCCACAAAATGAAAAATTCATTGGAGATATTTATAATTTTCTTCTTCAATGTATTTGACTTTTGACTCACTCAAGAGGAGAAAGAGGAAGGAAAACTCCATATCTCTCACTCTAGCCAATCAGGTCTTAAAGGAATGATTTAAAATATGTAGAATGTTTTAATAACTTCCTTAAACACAGAAAGCAGTGAACATTGTGTAGTGTAAAATAAATACCGAAAAGTTTCAATAAAAATGATATTAACTTACAGTTAAGCATGCTGCATGGAAGTATACTTCTAGCTTTCTCTGCTACTTCATTGTACAAAGCACCTCCAAGTAATAAAATGTCAATTGCCTCTTGCTTACTGCTATCCAGAAGATTGTTCTGTATAGTACGTACAACCGATCGAGATCCATCTCTTAGCTTAACAGAAATAAAAATCAACACACTGTATAAAATTTAAAAAATCTAAACAGGAAAACAATATAAAAAACTGTAAAAAGAAGAGTGTTAGACATAACATTATTAATTTTTTTTTTCTGCTAGATATCCAGCAGCGAAATGTAAATAAATATATTAACTTCGTGATAAAAGTTCCAAGCAGGATTTTGTTAGAGTCAAACTGTGATACTTAAGCTTGTAAAATCAGTATTATTTAGTTGCTTTATGTGAGTCATGAATATACACCAGCTCTCGTGAAGCACCTGTAGCACGGCTGTACCTTATATCACACTGCTCATCGTAATGGTGCATTTTGTTGCAGCTACAAGAGTGATGTAATGGATGGAGGTGGAATAGATGGTTACCATTAAATTACGTATTACGTTAGAGAAAATACATACAAAGGCATACATAGCAAGCCATTTGTGGCAAGGCATTACTGATGCATGTGACTGAATGGTACAAAGATTTTGAGATTGAAAGGTTTCAGCAAAAGACAATCCTTCCCAAAAATGTGGAATGTGCAAAGAATTTCCTTTAAAAAGACCATCATGTTATTATTCGCATATTATCGATATACTAAACATGAATAGGGATGTTCAATACCAGATTTTAAGCAATGAAATAGGAAAACAGAAGCTCAATGAAAAAATCCTCCCTCGCACATTGGCAGAGGGATAAACTATAAACCAGATGTACAGCTGCCGTTGAACAGTTGGAAAAGGCAGAAGTCATCCTGCAGTAGCAACATTATTGCCAAAGATTAAAGTTAATGATTTGAATCTGACTCTCAAATGAAACAACAAAATATGAAATGGCCAGATCATGTTTCAATGTCAAAGGAAGAGAAATGGCAACTATTACAGTTTCAGAGCTGATTGTATTTATATATGCAGTATGCGAAGTGGAATATAAATTCTAGCCTCTCGCACAGACAATGAATTACTGAGTTATGAACCCTTTGTGTCAGACAATTAAACAATGCTGATCTGACTTGTGAATATCTAGGCAACGACTCCCCTTATCAGTCACTGCATTATCTAGAAAAACATCATAAACCTTCTCATCATTATCAACCATACTCACCCATTATACCTTGTGCAATCCTTCCTACATAGGGAAATGCTGCTGAGAGGGATGCAACATGAAAATATTTTCTTAAAAGTCTTAAAACTGAGATGTATCAAGAATCATCCCAAAAAAGGCTTTCACTATTTCTGAGATCTTTAAAAACTCTGGCAGTTGTAAATAAATAGCAAAAGAGTTTATTTGACAAGGCCAAGCATCATTAATTGGTGAGCTGAATATATTACTTTTTATCGGCAGTGGAACATTTCCAACAATGGTGCACATAAAGTTTCATCTAAACAGCTTCCCAGTAAGATACCGAATGCCTGGAAAACTGCTAGCCGTTGACTTTACCACATTGCTATATATTTAGTATCATATTTTAAATATTATTTTAAAATATGAAACAAAATACTCAATAAATAATTAGACATTGCTGGCTCCTTCAACTGGCACATTACAAAAATTGTAGACATAATCAAATGTGTTTTCAAACAATCGATTTAGTTTTATATATCTAAATAGTATTAATTATATTTGAGCTACAAAACTACTTTGAACAGCATGGTTCTCATAAATTTTTACACAGCCTTTTTTTTTTAACCAATAACATCACAATCAGTCTCGCAATCAAAACACATATTCAGTAGTAAAATATCACACACAGCTGATAATTTTAAATAATTAACATAGATAAATTGAAAGAAGTTTTAAAACTTATGATGATATATTCATTAAAAATGATACTACTACATGCGGTCGTCTTGTAAGGATCCTAAGTTTTACTAACGTTTATTTTATTTTAAAACTGTACTATCACTTCTTATTTTCTACTTCCGGCCAGAATTAAATGCTTTAACTTGTTTATGCAAATTGTCTTGCTGCCAAGAGAGAGAGAGAAGGAGTTATAGGAAGCAATGTACACTACAGTATATCTATCTCAAAATCTTTGTATCTCAAAATCTTTGTACCATTCAGTCACATGCATCAGTAATGCCTTGCCCACAAATGGCTTGCTATGTATGCCTTTGTATGTATTTTCTCTAACGTAATACGTAATTTAATGGTAACCATCTATTCCACTGTAGCTTGCCACTGTAGTTTTACGAGTTTTCACTCTGTTGCTGGTTGCCTTTAAGGCCAGAGGTTTAGCCCTCTTGATATTTGCAGACGCATTGTAGTTTTAGCAGCTCGGTGTACTACATACGTACCTTTTTTAAATAAAGGCCAGTCTTAGTGCTAGGCATTTGTATATTAATTCAAAGTTAGCTTTTAGTTAGAGTTTTAGTTAGTATTTTTTATATTCTTACGTTCAGACCACAAGTGGTTGGTCTCTGTATTCCGAAGTTCGGAAATACCTGTAAAGTATTGAAAATAAAGGGTTTCGTATACCCTTCCTGCTTGTGTTGTCTACTTCACACCTTCTTGAACATAGCTTGAGTAAGCTCCCTGTTCCTATTCAGGACCATTCATGTTTTCAACGCAAATCAAGAGAAACACAAGTCCTGACAAAGTGAGAGAAGTTGTCGTGAGTGGTTTCAAAAGTTTAAGAAAGGCAAATTTGACGTTGAAGACAAAAAATGAAGCAGAAGGATGAAAGTGTACAAGGACTAGGAGTTGGAAGCATTATTAAATGAAGATTCGGTGTTAGACGCAAGTAGAATTTACATTTATATTAGGAATATTTCAACAGGCAATTCCACAACAATCGTTTAAAATCATTGTGAATGATTAAAAAGCATAGAAATTGGGTTCTACATGAACTGAAGCCGAGAAACGTTAAACGCCGATTTTTTACATGTGAAATACTGCTTGCCAGGCTTAGACGAAAGAGGGTTTTGCATCGCATAATAACTGTGATGATGAAAAATCGATCTCCCACGATAACTAAATATTTTCTAAAATATATTAGTGTGTACAGAAAATATATTTAAAATTGTCAAAATAGTCAATTTTTAATTTTTTAATCATTTAAAATTTTTTCTTGAAAATGTATTATTATATTATTATATATATAGATTTTCAGATTACGCATATTATTGAAAAGAAAATATAATTTATATTATTTCGCGTATACAAAAAAAATCTAATTGTTATTTACTGGAAACCTTCGATCAATTATTTCAGATAATTAACCTTAAATGAACCAAATATTCAAATATCCATTTACGATAGCAATAGACAATTACTTTACTTCCATAAAGCTCGTTCAGGAGTTGTCAGATCCTGGATTTGCGGTTGTAGATAGAAAAAGAGAAAATAGGATTGGAAGCTGTCCAGTTGAAAATTAAAAATCTGACAAAGAAAAGAAAGAGGTGCTATGGATTACAGGAAAGACATGCCATACATTGTAATAGTTGTAAGTTGGAAAGACAAGAGTGGGGCTACGACAGTTTCAAACTGTACTAGAGTAAATCCACTATGTTGAGCCAAACGCTGGGGGGCTTCTGAGAAACAGAAGATCGCATTGCCGCAGCCTCATGTAATTATGATGTACAACAAGTTTATGGGAGGCACCGATCGAATGGACGAAACTATTTCAAATTATCGCACTGGATTCCGTGAAAAGAAATGATGGTTTCCACTTGCCCTGTTCTTCATTGATGTTTTTTAATACCATGTTTTCAATTAAAGATGATGTTAAAGATTCAAACAGAGGTGTATTCAATTCAAAATGCGTGGCCCCTCCATCGCATGTTTTGCAAGAAAAAGGACACAATGGATCAACTAGAATTTCGCCGCAATCTCAAACGAACTGGAGTGCTTCCCAAACCTGGAAGAACAGTCGCTTCAACAGAGATAAGTAAGCATTTGACCAATGAAATTTGATTTGACCAAACTGGCTACATAAATTTTATAAGCAAAACACAATTGCGATGTGCTCAGTGTGTAGGTAAGACCATCAGAAAATGTGGAAAACATAACACTGGATTGCATGATGAATGCTTTCAATATTTTCATGAAAAATATTTATTGTTTTTACATTTCCCTTGTTTATAGTAAGTAAAATCATAAAATGTTCTTAAAATTACCATCCCTTTGAATAATTTAATAGAATTCAATTATATTAACCATTACTAATTATTACTGATTTGCAAGACTGAAAGTTTGAAGTACACCAGGTCATTTTTCAAGCCTCTGCTTCATTTTTGAAACTATTTGGCATTAATAAGGTGATTAGTCATAGTAAAAATGATATAAGAAAAAGAATAACAGAAAAAAAAATTAAATTAGTAAAGATGGAAACTATGAATTTTTAATTAATTCAAGAAATGGAATGCACTGGAAATGTAATTTAAAGTTAAACAGTATTCTGCATTATTTTCTGTATGAAAATTATAAGATCATAAATCAAGTTCACAAATTATAAATATTCCGTAAAGAAAAGTTTGATTAATAATAAATTCCACAAATGAAAAAATTTAAAAACCTTTTGCTACTTTAATTCTCTTCAGATTGTCCCTGTTCACTGCTGCAGGGTTTGCAAAATTGTACTGTCTTGCCCAGATGATTTTTGCAAGTAAACATAGAACACTCAGAACATTTTGTGGTAGTGTAATTATTTTTCATTCTACCGCAGTCAGCGGAGCATCTTTTGATCTTTTTTGCAGATGATTCCTCATCCGTTTCAGCCATCTTGTCCACTTCTGTTGTTACCAGCCTTCTAATAATAGCTTTCGAATGTGACAGAAGAAATGGTATTTTCAGACGATTCTGAAGATGTGGTTTCGTCAAAGATGTAGCTAGATTTTTCAAAAAATATCTTCTAAACTTGATGGTTGCATCAGGTTTGGCGAAGTTCAAGAACACTTGTGAATTTATGCCCGCTATGTTTAGCAGTGCAAAAAATATTGCCATTGTCCACCTCTTGGTTTTTCGGGTGACAGTGAAATTACTACAAAGTTGGTCTACGG